TTTTTGGTCTACGAAACCCAGGGTTGATGAACATGGGGACCCCAAGCAGGATAAGGGGAGAGGGGGTACAGGGGTTGCGGCGGGGTAAAAGGCAGACAATGTCAAGGAGTCCACGTAGAAAAACAATGGCTGGAAACCGATTGTGGTAGCAACTATACAATTCTACTTGACGTGACTTAAATATGGAGTAGGTTATATGCATTAAATCCCAACTTGGATGGGGCTCTCTGGAGAGATAGCCAGTTGGCTGAGTCGACATCGCCCTCTGGTGGCAGAACGCTCAACACTGCGGTTTCCCAGACCCTGCGCACTAAGGCCCTGCAGCAAGAGAAATCCCATGCTTTTCCCTTGGCACAGCCCGACAGGGCACTGAGTGGACCAGGGCTTTCCCCGCAGCAGCCTCTGAGGGATGAAGGCTGCACACACCTTGAGCGGGTAGAGGGCCTAGGAGGACAGCTGTTCTCCATCCCCTTGGGCCAGCAGTGAACAGTGGGGGGTGGGGGTGGGGGAGACAGGATCCCAGAGGCTTCTCACCTCCTGAATTTGCTCCTTCATCACTTTGATCTCATTCTCTCGAGGCTCTATTTGCCTCTTCAGCTCCTTTATTTTGTAGTCGAGCACAAACTTGAATTTCTCTAGTTCCTGGTTTTTCTTCTTCAGATCATAAATTCGCTTCTCCTGGGGGTTGGAAGTGGGGAGACGGGAGAGAAGTGAGAGTCAAGCACAGGGACCTGAGACAGAGAGGGGGTCCTTTTAGGGCAGAGAGAGGAATCCTGGACAGTGCTGATGGAGGAGCCTGAGGCGCCTCTACTGAGGGGGGTGGGGGTGGGGGTGGGAATGCATAGCCTGCCTATCCCCGCACTTGGGTGCAGTATTGACACTTCAGCTTCTGACCAGAGACTTTTAGTCATGCACTCATTTATTTGAATCAAGTAGCGCTTTCCAAAGAGGGCCTGTGTGGCTCCCAAAGTGGGTCAGAATGGGCCAAGCAGCTTCTTCCGCCTGGTCCGCTAACGCTGGGGGAGCCAGCTACACGTGAAAAGTCCGGGCACCTAGAGCCACCATGGTAGTTACATAATCGGGTGTCAATTTGGGACTTGAGAGGATTAAGAGTGAAGGGGTGGCGTCTAGTCTGTCAACCGGATCATAGCCAGTGATCTGTGTGGGCATGGCCTTCCCCTGAGAAATCTAGGAACTCTTGTATTTCCTCCTTGGAGGTGGAAGACACACTGTCTCTCTCGACTCTCTCCCTGGGAGACATTGCAGCTGACAAGACACA